CAACAGAGTGAAGCTGAAACAGCAAAGCAACAGAGATAAATCAAAAACACTCATTATTCCAACACACCTTCTCTGGATTATTTCAGTCAACTTAGTTTAAATTAGGATGATAAAAGCAATCAGCTGTGAATTTCAAACATGGACAACCAGGAGGCCGACTGCTGGAGAAACATATTTTTAATTAGGAAAAGTTTGACGTTAGTTTTAACTTTTACTGGAAGTCTGTGAACAAAACCTGTCTGCAGCTGATAGAAGAATATGTTGAGCACAGAACCTTGAACATTACAACTGCGAACTATTTCACTAAGATTGTATGTGAAAGACSAACACAAAGTAGTTCATGTTTCAGTAAAATGTTTTTTTCAAAGGTTTTCCAGAGATCTAAGCAGATCTTCCTCACTGTGAAACACGGTGGTGGCAGCATCATGCTGTGGGGATGCTGGTCTTTAGCAGGGACAGTAAAGCTGGTCCGTGTTGATGGAGCTTCAGGGCAATCCTGGAAAATAAAAACCTRTTGGAGGCTCAGCTTCGAGCAGGGCGACGAGCTGAAACGGTCAGAGGAGTGTCTCAAATCAAAACATATCCATGTGTCACAGTCCAGACCTACTCTCTGACCCGTCTGAGCCTGACATGGTTCTGATATCAGCTTTGACTGAGTGAAGCAGATGGGTCARGTTTGGACCCAGTTCAACAAACACCTACTAATTAAAAATAAATGTATATGCTATACATCTTTAGAATTTTAAATGTTTGTCTCAGAGGAAACACGTTTTTAACAGATCTGCATTTAGTTTCACCAGCTTTAAAAATAAATCAAATATTGTGAAAAATACCACTTTTATAAAAGAATACATGTTTTATTTTGGGTGATGAGTATGTTGTTAATTTACTCATGATTAAACTGATCTTTTAAAGTAAGGGAGGGGCTGTCACACGTTTGAACTTTTATGTTATAGAAGGATTGAGATCTTTGAGAGTTTTTGGATCGAGCAGCTGAAGAAACCAGAAAAAGGCAGATGATGGCAAAAAAGTTCAGCCTTTTTTTGTTTTTGATTAATTTGAGCTCTAATCTCCTTCATCTTCCCTCTCCATCAGACAACTCAAGTCCTGCCTGAGCAGTGACACAAACCATTTATGTCTACTCTTACTACTTGGTTTATTATTGTCTTTATTTTAATTTTATGTGTTGATCACAGTCAGAGCTTAGTTTTCCTTTGACGTGGACAAAACACTGACTGATCAGAAATGGTTTGTTTTAAACTGGGACTTAAAAGTATTAAAAAAAACAGGGGTAAATTTATTTAAATAAAAACCTAAAATTAGGACCAGGTGGCATTTTCATTTTTATTTTTTATTTATTTATTTATTT